GAAAATTTCCGGAACTACTTTACCGGTATATTAAAAAAAACGCTGTTCACACAGGCGAGGACGTTACGGAATTTTTCTGGAAAAGAGCATTCACACATCCATCGCAAAATGCCGGTAAATTCTGACATCATTAACCAGAAATGACCTCTAAACGGCTGCGCTTGTGTTTGTAAACATTTGACTACATTACAAACTCTTCGAATGGATCAGTATTGAGTACAACTCTAATGAAAACATAGGGAAACACTTTCGCATGTCGAGATGTTCATGATATGTGTTTGTGCTGGTGCTATGGGCGCTCACGGGCACACGCAAAGCTTGAAGGTAAACAAACAACGGATTATCATAAACATTTTATCGATAATTATTTACACAGCATTAAGACGGAACATAGAAACATGATCTGACTAACATCTAGCAGCTAAAGGTGTCTGGAAAAAATATTCAAAGGCTTTTATTCTCATAAACCGCGCACACGTGAATGCGTCTGACTGTTCTGATTGGCTAAAGCAGGTTTCTCACGTCAGCCCGTTCTAGACGTGGACGCGCTTATTACGGCAATCTTCCTTCTGCATTCACACAGCGCAGCATTCCGGCAAATTACCGGTAACGTTACAACTTCTCTTTCCGGAAAATAGCCAGAACGAATTTACCGGTATTTTCAAAAAGGGTCTGTTCACACATACAACCTTTCCGGAAAATTGCCGGTAATTTTCCAGAAAGGTCTATATGTGTGAAAGGGGCTAATATCTGTACACTGGAATGGAGGATAGTTGTTATTACTTCTTTTCTTGGCCAAAAACATTCTCACATCATTAGTGCTGTGTAAGTATCATCTATTTTACATAGATATAAAAATAAATTGTTGCGATTGTTGCATGTTATGATATTCTGTAATAAATTTAAAAGTTCATTGTTTTTCTTTTGATTTACCACGTTTATTGACTGTCCTGGAAAAATCATGGAATTGTTGTAGTAAAAATGTGTATAAACCCTGTTAAAATATATTTTAGCCAGAATAAATTTGTATTGTATTTATTTTTTTACCATATGCGCCTCTGACTAACATTAGATGAAGACATTGCAATCCAGCACACTTCAATGAATCAAGCAGAATTGGCTGAGAGTGTGAGCCGTGTTCGGGGTGCATCCAACTAATCAGCTCTAAACTGTGTGAACTGCCATCTGATGATTAATAGATGACATGATTTAACACCTGCTGGATTAATACAGCCACTGAATGTAACTGTATCTGAACACACTCGAGCAGACAGGAGCCATTTAAATAGCACACTAAAATTACCCTGTTTGTGGCAGCTTGCTGTACACACGTGTTCACTTGTGTGCGCGTGTGCGTTTGTTCACAAAAGCGCTACATACATAAACAGTAGATTTAATGCATGAATAAAAATATATCTCATCACAGCATCTTTGCCTTGTAGCTGGTGTTGAGTTTGGTTGAACAAGAGTGTTTAGTAGCGCAAACTAGGTCAGATTTCAGTCTCAGTCAGACTTTATGGTGGTCTTCACATTCAGCTTACAGTTGCTGAAGGAATGCAATATGATATACTAGTTGAAAATATTTGACAGGCTTCACAGGTCTCCAGTAGGCCTTGTTCTACTGTATGAACTTCATTAATGAATCAAAAATATGTGTATATAGTGATTAGACGGTGATTAGTCCAAAAATAGAGCCAAATTTAGAGAACATACAGTTGAAGGTCAATTGTTAAAATGTAATTATTTTTATTAACGTCTACACCATCTTGTCACAAATTTTGGAAACAAACATTGATCTTGAATCTAGCCTTTTCCTGCTGAATGATCAATCAATAACCCTGACTTTAAGACAAAAACAAAAGAAAACAATCTTCAGTTCCTGGTTCCCTCCTAATCTCTTGTCAGCACAGCAATTCATTCAGTTCTTTTCCTTTGGCTTGTTCCCTTTATTCATTTGGTGTCACCACAGTGAAATGAACTACCAACTTATCCAGCATATATTTTACCCAGCGGATACCCTTCCAGCTGCGTCAACCCAGTACTGGAAAACACCCATTCACGTACACTACAGCCAATTTAGTTTATTCAATTTCACCTATAGCTCATGACTTTGGATTGCTTTTGAAATTGTTGCAAATGTATTCAAAATAAAAAACCTGTAAAATCACATGTACATAAGTATTCACAGCCTTTACTCAATACTTTGTTGCAATTACAGCCTCAAGTCTTTTTCAATATGATGCCACAAGCTTGGCACATCTGTCTTTGGGAATTTTTGCCCATTTCTCTTTGCAGTGCCTCTCAAGTTCTATCAGGTTGGATGGGAAGTGACGGTGTACAGCATTTTTCAGATCTCTCCAGAGATGTTCAATAGGATTTAGGTCTGTGCTCTGGCTGAGCCACTCAAGGGCCTTCACCGAGTTGCTGTGAAGCCACTCTATTGATATTTTGGCGCAGTGCTTTGGGTGATTGTCCTGCTGGAAGATGAACCGTCGCCTCAGTCTGAGGTCAAGAGCACTCTGTAGCAGGTTTTCATTCAGGATGTCTCTGTACATTGCTGCATTCATCTTTCCCTCTATCCTGACTAGTCTTCCAGTTCCTGCTGCTGAAAAACATCCCCACAGCATGATGCTGCCACCACCTTGCTTCACTGTAGGGATGGTATTAGCCTGGTGATGAGCGGTGCCTGGTTTTCTCCAAACTTAACGCCTGGTATTCACTCAAAATAGTTTAATTTTAGTCTCCTCAGACCAGAGAATTTTGATATAACAGTCCTTCAGATGCCTGTTGGCAAATTCCAGGCAGGGAGTATCTTCCGTCTGGCCACTCTACCATACAGGCCTGATTGGTGGATTGCTGAACAGATGGTTCTCCTTCTGTAAGGTTCTCCTCTCTCCACAGAAGAATGCTGGAGCTCAGACAGAGTGACCATTGGGTTATTGATCACCTCCCTGACTAAGGCCCTCCCCTGATCACTCAGCTTAGATGGCTGGCCAACTTTAGGAAGAGTCCTGGTGGGTTTCTGAACATCTTCCACTTACAGATGATGGAGGCCACTGTGCTCATTGGAACTTTCAGAGCAGCAGAAAATTTTCTGTAACCTTCCCCAGCCTTGTGTCTTGAGACAATCCTGTCTCAAAGGTCTACAGACAATTCCTTTGTCTTCATGTTTGAGTTGTGCTTTGACATGCACTGTCAACCCTGGGACCTTCTATAGACAAGTGTATGCCTTTTCAAATCATGTCTAATCGACTGAATTAACCACAGGTGAATTTCAATTAAGCTGCTGTAACATCTGAAGAATGATCAGTGGAAGCACAATGTAGCTGAGCTCAATTTAGAGCTTCACGGCGTACTTCTGTACATGTATATGTGATTTTTCAGCTTTTTAGTATTAATAAATTTGCAACAATTTCAACAAATCTTTTTTCCACATTGTCATTGTCATTATGGGGTATTATGTGTATAATTTTGAGGAAATAAATAGATTTAATCCATTTTGTAATAAGGCTCTAACATAAAAATGTGGAAAAAGTAAAGCGCTATAAATACTTCCGGATGCACTGTACATAAATTCACAATCTTCAAAAATTTGGTTTGCACTGTTTAATGTTTTTGTGTTTTTACAGAACGTTCACTTTTGCTTATTACTACATATTATATGTATCCTGTTATACAACGGCAATTTTACTATAATTCACTACGTAAGCATGCCCTAAATAGATGTTTGACCATTATGCTATTCTGGCTGCACCTCTAGGATAAGCTGACTTTGTGTTGGCGTGGGTTTCCTCCAGGTGCTCCGGTTTCCCACACAGTCCAAAAAGATGCGCTATAGATGAATCATCCGTAATTTACAGTATGTGTGCGAATAAGTGTATGGATGTTTCCCAGTGATGGGTTGGTGGTGACCCTAGATTAATAAGGGGACTAAGCCAAAAAGAGAATGAATAAATGAATGAATGAAGGAATGAATAAATGAATGAATGATTGTTTTATACAATTGAATACATTTTTTTCCATTTTTTTAAAGAAAATTTTCTGTATTTTTAGAGTGTGACATGTAATTTTACGTTAATATTTACAGATTTTTCCTGTAAAAATAGGAAAACAAAAATTCAGTCAAATTTGGTAGACACAAAAAAGAAACTGAATTTATTTATATATATATATATATATATATATATATATATATATATATATATATATATACTTATTTATCTAAATGTATGTTAAAAGTGGAAAAATGTATGGAATATTTAGAGATTTCATGCATAATTAATCTGCATAATTACATTAATTAATGTTTTTAATTACACACAGTAATAACCTGCATAATTACAGTAATAATCATTATATCACATTAATTCATTTCTATTATTGCATTAATAGCCTGCATAATTACAGTAATAATTATTAGAATCACATGAATTAATCTATATAATTACAATAAAAAATATATTTACAGTAAAAATTTGTAAACATGACAGCAATTATCTGTAATTGCAGTAATAATTATTAAAATGGCAATAATCACTATTTCCCCCATTTTCTTCACAGTTTAAATGCAAATTATCAACAGTAAACTGTAATTTAATGATTTTTGATCATAAAGTCTGTTCTGTATTTTTACAGTTTTTGCATGTAATTTTGTTAAATGGTTATTTTCTTTTGTCTGTTATTTTCGTTTGACCGTTTTTTTACAGTTTTTTTTCGATCCAGTGACCATTTTGCTGACAGTGCTAACCACTGAGCCACCATGCCACCCCCATTTTATAAATTTAGTAACATAAATCCACCAAAATATGTATACTTATATGTATTCATTTCACCACAACAACAAAAAAATTGCCTCTAAAAAGTCTTTAATAACGTCAATTGTAAGCAGTACAAGTTCATATTCTTTGACCAGGCCTTAGCTTAACTTACATAATAAAGCTAACAAGAAAAAATATATATGTAGTTCTGAATCAAAACATGACATTGTTCTAGCAAGGAACACTTTTTTTTATTAATGTCAGGGTAACAATAACATCATACAAATTTGTTACAAAGAGTGTTGTACAGAGAAGTAAAGCATCAAATAAGCACATACAAGAGAAAAAAAGAATAATATTAATATAAAATTATGTGTTAAGAAAATTTAATTCTAGCAAGGACCACGAACATCCGCGGCACGAACAACTGACGCATTGTCAAAGGAGCTGTCCAGCGGCTGTGGTGCTGACCATGCTCCAAAAACTGTCTTTTTAGGCATTAAAATGAAACCTTGCACGATGGAAAAACTAAATTAGTTTAATTGTAAACCAAATAATTAAATACTGAACTACAAAACAGTTTATTACATCAAGGCGTTCACTGTTTGTTGTGTTAAATATCATCACTGACTGTGATTCCCTCTGATATTCGTCATGCTGTGACTCGCGTCACCCTTTCCGTCACATGACTGAGGCCGGTGGCATATTTCTTTTGTTGGTTAAGGCGGTGACACGTCAAAAACGCACATTGTTGAGGGAGAAGCTTAAGGAGGATTCATTTTTAGCACAAATGTTGTGTCGAGGGAGTCAGCCTCGTCTGCAGTATGTAACAAAACACGGTGAACATAACATCCTCGAGCAAAAATAGCCGTTTTCGCATTTCGTCATCTGCTCTAAATGTGCAGTCATATGCATTTTAGGTGAGCGCGCGCCACACAACAAGCCTGTGTCATGGAAGACTCTGTCTGTCTTCAGATATACGCGTCTTTACGAGGATATCCATGACATATTCTGTGAGAAAGTAGAGGCTATACAGTAGGGTGAGAGCAGTGTCGCTTCTCTCGTGTGAATGTGTGGGGCGCGTGTAAAATGACCGAACTAACAACTGTGGGCGAGGAAGGCAGAGCAGAGCCAAAACTCCACTAGAATTGGACATCAGGCGGTGCTGTGGAGGATTCCCGGAGACTGCTGTGTCTCCTAAAACATTTGAGCTTTTAAAACAGCAGCTTAATCACCAATAAACCCAATGGCAGCATCGGAGAAAACACTCATTTACCGGGAGGACACTGATTGTTTTAAGAACTTGCTTTCTAAAACAGACATGCGCATGATCGCCGCGCAACAAGAGTCAAACTATGTGGATCTGAATGACTTGTTGGAGCTGAGATTGGCTGATACAAAAACAGTGACTTTTAACGGCGACTCGGGTCAACTTGCAGCTAATAAAAGTGCCAGTGGCACGAGCGATCCACAAGAGGAACGGCGCGTTGAAAAAGTCAATGATCGTAAAAGCACACCGGAGGAGGACAGCGCGGAAAAGTCGAGCTCCTTTGAGACAGCGACTTCGGAAGTACCTCAAGTTGATGACAAAGATGCAGATTTTATCGAGGACAAACCCAAATCTCCGGATCTGAATAACGAACAGTACAATGACGTTTATTTGAGCAGCAGAAGTGAATCGGATGATGAGGCCACTGTGGTGCTTTCGGACCACGACACGTCTGAAGTGCGCGAGGATGAGTCCCACTACATCACAACCCACGAAATCCAGCTTTTAGAGTTGGACCACGATGTGGATTACGACATTGAGACGGGATCCAGCTGGGACCTGGAGGACGATCTCCGGGTTTACACGTTTGTCGATTATGCGTCTTTTGACAGTGATGAAACGCTGGAGGCAAAAGAGGCGAGCGTGACAGGCAACCAGAGCGCAGCAGTGGTCAGCAGTAAGCCTGAAAGCAATCTCTGTGACGCGGACAAATGTGCCGGCTCAGATGAGGGCCTGTCAAAAAAGCAAAATACAGCAGGGCAGATTCACCTGTCAATCAAAGCCACTTCCCGCGCTGTTAATGAGCCTGGCAACAAGCAAAATCAGGCAAAAGACATAAGCCGGTTTGTTTTGAGAGGAGTAGATTCAAAGGGGGAGAAGGTGTGTGATAACACAAAGTGTTTCATTGCTGTGCCAGGGCGCTTGCACTTTGGCTGCAAACGTAAAAGCAAAGATGTGAACGAGTATTCCAGCGGTGCGTCCAGCGCGGTGAGCGAGCTGGATGACGCGGACAAGGAAGTGCGTAATCTCACAGCCAGGGCTTTCAAAAGTTTGGCGTACCCATATTTTGATGCAATAAACTTCAATACTTCTAGTGAGTCTTCAGTCTCGGAGCATGGGCCAGGAATCAACAGCTGGTCAGCGTTTGTTGATTTTAAGTATAGCAAGGGGAGAGATCAAAACTTAGTGGCGCATAAAGGCTCCACGTCTAATTTCCATTTCACTAAAAAGAGAGACGGTAAGGCGATAACAGGGTTGACGTTAACCAGCATGCGAGCGCCCCCAGTCGAGATTTTTGCTTTGAACGGCAATTTAGTTGGGCATAAAAACTCATCGTCCTCCACAAAAAAGATTGAGCTCATGGGAAAGTTCTCACAGGGGCAAAGCGGGCTCATAAGATTGACAGAAACTCTTAATATTCGAAGTAATGTCAAATCCGGGCAGCCTGTAAACGAAAGCACTGAAGGATCACGTTCCACAGATGAAGTTACAAACACCTTGCCAAGCGCTCAAGGGAGTGAGGCCAGCAAGCCACCCTGCAATGCAGGGGAAACCATGGAAGACACGCACAAGAAAGCCATATTCGCATCGAGCCTCCTCAAAAATGTCATTTCTAAGAAAATGCAGTTCGAGCAGGAGCGCAAAATGGAGAGGGGCGAGATATGCGAGACGCACCATGCACCCTCTCCATGTTTCGCCACGCACGAGCACGAAGCGCAGAGAGAGAAAGCGGCCAGGAGAGACTCCAGAGGTCTGCAGAGGCAAAGCTCGAAATTTTCCGAGGCAGACTCCGACTTCACGATCGTCTGCGTGGACGATCTGGGCGACATAGTTGATGGTAATTCAAGCGATGCCAAAGACGAAGGGCGCAAAGAAGAGAGCGCATCGGAAACCAATTTAGAGTCGGCGAATGATACTAAAAAAGGAGCATTCGAAGCATCCAAAAGCACGCTGCTTCGAAGCCAAAATAGCGCGTTCAGATCGTGGAGGGACGGCGAGCTAGAGTTTCAAAAGGAACATAAAAACGACAAAACTCCTGAGGGGGCACCGCTGCGCGAGCGTCCGGCGGAGACCAACTTCTGCGTCGGTTCGGTGATCGGCAAGCACACTAAAATGTCACATTTGTTTGTGCCAAGTATCCAGCTTCCGTGCGCGGAGAGGGACCTCAGGAAACCACCGCCGAATGTGAACTATCAAGCAGACAGCGGGGCTGTGAAGTGTCGCTCGAACACCCTCTATGTGTCAGACGCCACGCGCAGCGCCGTGACCTCAAAGTCGCCCGAAATCAAAATAAGTTTGCGGAGCGTGCGGGACAAGAGCGACCCGTTCAACATCGCCAAGCTCCTGACGCCAAATGTAGGCTGCAAGACAGCTGATGACGCCAGATGTCAAGCGCTCGCCGCGGCTTTCAAGGGTGAGTCTGACAAAGTGCCACACTTTATAGTCAGAGACATTAGAGATAACAAGCAAGGCAAGCTGCAGACTCCAATTCACCAGGTTAGAGACGTGCGCAAACTGGTAAAGAGCTCCTATCACTTTGTGTCTTTAGATAACAACGATAACAAATCAGTGCACTCGACTTGCGATGGAGAGCAGAAAACATTAAAGCAGAGTCCTTATCTGAACTCATCCCCTCTCACACCCATAGTCATTAAATGCCAGTCTGTGAATACAAATAGCAATGTGAAGCAAGCCGGAAATTCAATAGAGCCCCCCAAGAGACGATTTCCAGATGATCTAGTTGATACTGACAGGTCCTCTCCTCATGCTGCAGTAGCTAACAGGCTGCCAAAGCAAGAGGTTCCAGCTGGATTAAAAATTGAGACGAGTGCAAAAAACCAAGACAAAACAAGCGACACCAGCGAGAAAAAACATGAACCCAAGAAGACTAACCAAGCTGCTTTTGAGAAACTGCAAGCCGCCGTCAAAACGATGGAGCAGCTGTATGTTTTTGACAGGAACGAGTGGAAGAGAAAGACAGAGCCACGGCCACTAACAGACAGCCACGTGCTCTCGCTTATCACTAGTGAGGAACACACCACAGAGGATCAGGAAATCAATGCAACTGCTGATCGCTTCCTGAGACGAGATTCAAACTCAAACCTGAGTGAAACACCAACTAAAAAAGACGACAAGCCAACAAGCACTCCCCTGACCCAAGAAGAGCAAAACGGTCCCAAAACACTCCTGCAGCCATCAGGAACGCCATGTAAGCACATTACCCAGAAACCTGCAGCTACAAAAGCACCGCAAACCCACATTTCATCACCAGCGTTCAAAGCGGTGACACCCAAATCGCCAAAACTACCCGTATCCTTGAAGATATCCCAGGCAAAACGTGTGTTAGAAGAGAGAGAGAGACCCAACGGCAGTGAAACTGAGTTTGCGCCTCTCCAGTTCACCTCCATGGCAGATTCAGAGAACTACTTAACCATCCCTGTAAAGCCTCACGCCATGTCTGCCAGAAAGCAAACCACGGGCAAAACGGCTCTTTATACAATCTCATCTGGAGGAAGTAAACCCCAAACGGCAAGTCCGCCTTCTTACCTGGTTCACAGTGACATCATAAGTCACCCGTCGCCAAAGCGGTCATCTTTTGTAATGGAGTCGCGCTCCCCAGATACCGCCACTATTTACCACACACCCCTGCCTGTCCCAATGCAGGCTGCTCAGCCTCAAGTCATCTGCTTCTCCCCTACAGTCCAACCCTCCCCTGTCCCATCAGAGCACTTCCAGGCGACCCAAAGAAAGATGCTGCTGGATCCCACTACTGGAAGCTACTATTTAGTAGACACTCCAGTGCAGCCTGCCACCAGGCGCCTATTTGACCCGGAAACGGGGCAGTATGTAGACGTCCCAATGCCACAGCAGCCTCCCATGACCCCCGTCCCACTTCCGATATCCCCTCTTGCCCTTGGCCCGGGAGCTTACGGCCACACCTACATGTTTTACCCGGGATACATGCCAACTACAATGATCCCCACACGCACTATTCAATCCCAGCTCTCTATGCAGTCTGAAGCAGACGATGTGGATAAAGCCCATTCTCACATGGGGCAGCTGGAGGAGGGAGCTTATATGGAGAGGCCTTACTATATGCCGTCAGGGAAGTCATCACAATCGAGCACCATGGCTCAACATGTTACCACCAGCAGACTGGCCAATAGCAAGCAGCCCGTCATCAGCATCACGTCCCAGCAAGGGCCGAGGATCATCGCTCCACCCTCATTCGACGGCACCACCATGAGCTTTGTGGTGGAGCATCGGTAAAGCCTCACTCACCTACAGCGTAAGTGCAGTTTCAACTTATTTAATCTTATTTGCATGTCTTTTTAATATTGTTGAAGATTCTAATGCTGTCACACTTCACTTGTTTCAAACCTATTTGAGTTTTTTCTTCTGTTAAACACGAAATAAGATATTTTGGAAAAGATATTTTGGAAAACCCTTTGACTTTCATTGATTTTTTTTTTCCTACTGTGGAAGTCGATGGGTGCCAGCAACTAACATTCTTCAAAATATCTTCTTTTTGTGTTCAGAGGAAGAGAGAAACTCATAAAGCTTTATAACCAAACGAGGATGATAATGTAATAATAGGTAATATTAATTTTGTTGTGAACTACCAATTTAAGGACTTTAAATTAAACTTTTCAGCTTGTTCAAATGATTCAAAACATTTTAAGTACAAAAATTTTAATTTATTATGATTTTCTTTTCATTTTAGGATTTTATGCATTTAGCATCCAAAATATAAGGACTGTACTAAATTCTTTGGTAATGATTTGTTTTAAATCTTTAAGATGTTATCTTTAAAAAAAAAAGAGGGATCAGATAATAGCAAACATTCATTCATTCATTCGTTCATTCATTCATTTTTCTTCGGCTTAGTCCCTTTATTTATCAGGGATCACCACACTGGAATGAACCGCAAACTTATCCTACATATGTTTTACGCAGCGTATGCCCTTCCAGCCATCACCCAATAGGAAATATCCATCCACTCTAGCATTCACACAAATACACTAGGATCAATTTTGCCTGGTCAACTGGCCCAGCTGGGGCTTGAAGCTGCCACCCTCTTGCTGTGAGGTGACAGTGCTAACCACTGAGCCACCATGCCGCCCGGTAAAAAACATATTTAACATACAGTACAGTTGAAATCAGAATTACTACCCCCCCTTTGAGTTTTTTTTTCTCTTTTTAAAAAAATAATATTTTCCAGATAATGTTTAACAGAGCAAGGAAATTTTCACTGTATGTCTGATAATATTTGTTCTTCTGGAGAAAGTCTTATTTGCTTTATTTCGGCTAGAATAAAAACAGTTTTAAATTTTTTAAAAAACATTTTGAGGTCAGAATTGTTAGCCCTTTTAAGCTATATTTTTTCGATAGTCTACAGAACAAACCATCGCTATACAATAACTTGCCTAATTACCCTAACCTGCCTAGTTAACCTAATTAACCTAGTTAAGCCTTTAAATGTCACTTTAAGCTGTGTAGAAGTGTCTTGAAAAATATCTAGTAAAATATTATTTACTGTCATCTTGGCAAAGATAAAATAAGTCAGTTATTAGATATGAGTTATTAAAACTATTGTGTTTAGAAATGTGTTGAAAAAATCTTGTCTATAAAAAAAGTATATAGAGATCTTAAAAAGATGATTTAGTGTCCAAATTGTTTTATTTTGATTGTTTCTAATTAAATTATTATCACAGTTAATATTTTCTGATTTTCATAGTATATGTATTAGTTCAGGTACTTTTACCATAAATCCACATATCAACCATTTGGTACAGGCTTATAATTTAGAATGATGGGATGTGTTAAAAAAATAAATTGACTGTGGTAACTAGCGACATTAGGACATTAGTTTAATAAAGGTTTGTGACAAGTGATTTTTCAGTTTTGGCTGAAGTACAGTGTATTCATTATTTTCTCATGGTGCTATTAAAATGTGCATGCATCATGCATCACATCTAGCTCCATTTCTCTTTTTGCTGTTTCATTATTTTTCTCTTTCCACAAGGCTTCTATAACTGTTTCATTTAACAGCATTTAGTATAGATTTATTAATAATTCATAATTGGATCCCAATGAGTTTCATTGTATGGACAGAAAAATAAGGACTTTAAAAAAAGTGTGTGTGTGTGTGTGTGTTCTGTAGAAGCATAAAGAATACAAGTTTGGAATGACATGATGGTGAGTACATGCTAACAGAATTGTAATTTGTGCGTGAACTGATGCCTTTAAATTCTCTTAAGCTAAAGAAAGTTCTAAATTTTATCAAAAGTAAACATTGTATCACACCTGTGGAAGTAAATCATCATTATCTTTGCATAATGCAAGATAATTTAGCATGATAAATGATATGATTTTAATGCATAGGATTTGTCATTATGTTGTTCCCCATTTTCTGGTTAAGAATTAAAAATACATATATTTATAAAAAATAGTTTTTGAAATATTATGTTCATTAATTTAAACTATTTTAGTCTTATGAGTTAGTTTATCTAAAGGGCCCAATACACAATCTAGTAGTGTGAATCTTCTTAAAGTTCATTTGAAGTTTGTTTCTGAAAAAGTTTAATTCAACCAATAAACACTTTCAAACAACCAATGGCATTTGGCCTCTTATGAACTGTTTCTGTGAGGATCTGTGGATTCAGAATTTCTAGATGAGCATATACATTTTTATATCATCTATATCAATCAATCATTTTTATTATTACAATTTTTATTTCATTTTCAAGAGTTGAGTGCAATGCAATAGGGTCTCTTGTAGCACCCAAGGGACCGAGTTTTTACAAATAAAAGCATAACCATATTTTTTAATAATAATAATTACTTCAATTACTTTAATAATTATTATTTTTATTATATTTCTAAAGAATGTTCATGTAATTTTATATATGCCAGGTTGTAAATTTGAAAATACTAACTCTTTAGCCATTTTGCGAACTATTTATTTTCATTTTGCCTAAAAAAAACTCCTCATGTGAACATCAACATCTTCTGTGATTTGGTGTGCCCAATCGAACAGCTTGTGCAAACATATTGATATTGCTATGATCTGATGCTTCCTTTACTGCTGTTTTCTCACTGCATGATTTTTTGTTGCATGTTTATTTTTAAATTGACATGTTTGTTCTCAGCATTGCTTGTGTGGCGTCCAGACAATTACTGACCGTGTGCTGCTAAAAAATATATCCTTTTACCCTTAATCTTTGCACGTAATCAAAACTTATAATGTTTTATACCATACATTGAGGTAAACAACTTATATGTGCAAGTAAATCCAATAGGAAAAAAGAGGTCATTTTAATCAAATTATCTAATTGCTTCCCCTCAAGAATTGCGGTTCTTCTCCTATGATGTCAGTTTGAGTGAAATCTGCTTAGCCACACCCCTCCAATGTGTGGTCACAAGAATAAACTCCACCCCCTACTTAATATTCCGTTACAGTTATAAATTCCTCATCATACTGAAATAAAAGGCTCCAGAAACTTCCTGTTCACAGATTTTTAAGAAAAAAAAAAGATCCTTAAGCAGCTAAATGCTTCACAGTAAAGCTGCTATGACTGAACATGGTTTTGTTTATATGATTATAAATAAATATGATGCTACGTTAACACCTCCTGCTCCAGTTGTAAAATAGCGCATTCAAAATCCATGCCTACTGTTCTATTTTCTCAAGAGCTACTGTATGCGTATGGTATGGACTATAGTGGTATAATGAGCAGCGGGTGGCGTGGCGTGGCGTCTAGGCGGGCAGAAGGGAAGAGGCGTGGCATTGTTGGCATAGCAGTGGGAGGAGAGAAAGGTCAGCCAGTTTGAGGCATGTGTTTGTGCTGATACAGTGTTGTGGCAGCTGCTGCGGGATATCAAGACACTTGGGCCGCAGGCAGGTCACCTTTTTATAGGACAGCCTTATGTTAAAGGGAAAGACCCAAAGGAGGGCCAGAAGCTTTGACTGAGGGATGTTATACAAACAAATCAGCCAACGTGCGATCGGGCGGCGCTGGGGGGTAACATGAGACCCCTCAAATGCAATATTTTAATGGCCTGTAATCCAGCTATTAGCAAGCAGCGGATGGTTTTAGAGACACTTGAAGATCATGCTTGGTTTTGAGTGCGGCTTGAGCAACTAACCTGTTTGCTGTGTTTGCGTCGCTGTGGGGAAATTCAGTTTTTAATGTCGATGTTTTGTTTTATTTTTACACAGGAGCCACCTGACATCTCCTTTTCGCTGAGTTTGGTGAATTTATTTACTTTTATTGTGGGATCTTCTTCATTATCTTCATCATGACATGGCACAATTCTTTGTGTTTGCCCAGTATATGCTTTTGTTTTTGTAAAAGTGATCTTGTTTTGTTTTAGAAATCTGCTTTACTTAACTTTTTGTGAAAGTGGATGGGTTTTTCAGGATTTTCTTCTTTTTTTTTTTTTTTTTTTAATTCCTGCACATTTACTGTATTGGTTATTGTTAAAAAGAAAAAAAAAACACTTTAGGCACTTTCAGAATGATGTCAGTGAAATATGTTAAAGCATCACAATCATGGCAATTCATAACTTTTTGATTTAGTGGCTAATTCATATGAATTCATGTGATGCTCATCGCCCAATGACAGTTGGGTTTAGGGGCGGGGTTGGCAGCCACGCCTCCAATTTTAAAGCGTACATTTTCATACGACTAAACTTGCCACTAAACTGGGAAAATGTAAAAAACTTGCGTTTGCTCGTGAAATCAAACTGATTAAAGAGAATGATGTCTAGCTAGCAATTGAATGAAATCAGGCAATAAATATGTTCACAACTTTGTAATTTGCAGTATGAAACAAAAGTATTTTTGAGATTTGCCTAAACAGTACACTTTAAAAAATAATTAGTTACTTAAAAAGTGAGTAAACATGTTGCCTTAAAAGCGTCAAGTTGACTTAACTTTAAAAAGTGAGTGAACCTGTTTACCTAATAATAGTAAGACAACATGTTTACTCACTTTAAGTAAAGTCAACTAATCGATCTTTACATTTTATTCAATTGATAGTTTTTTAGACACGTGACCTGTTCAGAGACCAGGCGGGCAAAAAAACAAAAAACAAAAAAAAAACAGGCTGTAATGGCAGCTACACTGGGATTTCTGTAGAAACGCAGCACAAACCAGTCATTTTCCATCAAGCTGGATATGAATATATGAATCGCATATTAACAGAACAAATCAGAGAAATTATCACAAATAGTAAATTGTGGGAAAAATTCTGTAAAATGTGAAAAATGTGCAATCCATATTCTGCACCTGCAGCCATATTTTAGTCATTTGAAATCTTCACATCCTTGTCAGAGCTCAAAATTTGGCAACATTCACATCTATCTTGTGGATATTTCTCAGCAATTTGGTGACGGAGTTACAGGGCGTAAGTGTCTGCTTTTATATTTGGTGTCAATTTGTTTTGCTTATTTGCTGGTAGGGAAAATCTATTTGTTCACTTCTGCTATTTATACTTTGACTTAGCATTTCAATTTATTCTTTAATTGCAACCTGCAAAATAAAAAATAAAAACTGTATAAAAAGCATGCAACAGCACTGACAGTTTTAGATATTATAGATTGTTATGGGTAAATGATGCTACCTTTTGGTACAATTTCTCCTTTCTGGCTGTTCTTTCTATGAAGGAATTCTATTAAAGCACAGGCCAGGCATGTCTCCCCCTCAGTTAGTAACACTGTATATTATTGCACAAGAGTTATGCGGCTTTTTGGCCAAAAAATAAGAAAACACTAAGTCCGTGACTTGGCGGTCAGTAGCAGACAGTAATTTTTTGCCTGCCAGGGGAGCACTGAAAACGATCATATGTGGCCCTAATAAAAATGTATGTTCTATAAAGAACTTTTAAATCCATGGAAACTTTGAAATGCACTAAATTTTCTTTACAATGGCAATAAAGTTTATTTGAATTTTTTAAAATGGTTTAAAAACGTTTTAAACACTGAAAAAAATGTTTAGATTGTAAGAGTGTATACCAATATGTGAATTTTATGCCTAAAGTCAACTTTTTATGTCCCACTTGCACAGTTCCTATATGCCTTTCAGCATATTCCATTTGATAGTGCTTGAACACAAACACTCGACACATAAAAATACCCTTTCTGGCCCAATTGTCTGCATTTTCCTCTCCAAAAATGACGATCTGCAAAAAAAGTCATTGTACTCATTGTACATTGTACTTAAATTACAGTTTTACCAATAAACCAAATCACCAACGTGTAAGTATAGCTACAGCTTATATCCAATGATGACCAATGAAAAAAAAGTTTTGCTATATTATAACTAGGCACCGATGTTGGTAAATTGTTATTTGTTGGTTTTAAACAGGTTCTCTATAATGTCAAACACATGAAATTTGTCCTGATATCCATCATTCCTTGACTGATGACTTTCTCCTGACCTTGATTCCCAACACTCTTGCTTGAGAGCTTAATGATATACAGTTTTATATTGTAATTTTTTTTGTGTGTTTTTGCTGTTGTTTTGCGCTGGTATTGAATAGGCCACACATTATGATGATAAATGATGTGGTGAATGGGGTGTTTTAGGGGATGATGATATTCCTCTATTATCTCACAATACCAGTGTGGTTTGAGTGTGTATGAGAATGTGTTTACCAAGTCATTTTGATCTGGTATCGGAGTTTTTTCTCATGGAAGCAGTGATAATGAGTCAATGTCAGGTGAATTGATTTCAGTGGAAGAAATGAAATATATTCAAAGGGATTTCATGTATTTTTTAATATATAGGATCTGTTCGGAGTGTAACTGTTTAGCATCAAGTCAAAATGTCCATAATTTCAAGAATATTCGGAACATGCTGAATAATATTGTAAACTGTTTGAACTATTCATTTACTATCAGGGTTTTGCAGTTTTCTTTGTATTTCAAAATGCAATCTGATGTTTATTATAGTACATTCTATGTCTTATCTCTGTGATATTCCTAAATGTACAGCATTTCATTCATTTAAACATATTTATAAAAATATATCGGCGACCCACATTAAACCCAGTAAAAATGTTTGGAATTATGTGAAATTAAATAATAGTGATCCCATAAAGATTTTACATTTTGTTTTTACCTTTTCTTTGGAAGAACAATCTCTGGTTCCCAAAATAATATTTCAGTTTTTTTTTTTTTTGTTTTTTTTCGTGTGTGGGAGAAAAAAAAAAACATTTTAAAAGTCTAATGAACTTTTTTTGTGGATTTAATAATACGTAAACTACTGCAGTACGTTTTCCAGATTTTAACAATAAACATTGTGAACATTCTTTACAACCAAAGACTAAAAAACAAAAGGCAGGTCACTCGTATAGTTTAAATGGGGAAAAGTGTAATGCGTTCACACTAGACGCGAATGAAGTGTCAAGCTTCCAGGAGTGATTTACATGTTAAGCCAATGCAAAGACGTGAATAGACATACTGCGGCGTGTTCGGCGTGCAAGTAAAAACAAAAAACAAAAAAGTTCGTTTTGTGCGTCAAAGTTGGAAAATCTGAACTTGAGCAGACGTTAGTGCCGTGTTAACGAATCAGGGGCTTTCTCTCGAAGGGGCTTGTTTATGACTTAGTGCCTGTTGTTGGTGTCCCGAGGGGAACTCCTCTTGCTGACACAGCACAACAGCTCATCAAACGGGCTTGGCTAAGTCAGCACCGCTAAAAGCTTCCATCATCCAGGTATAGCTTTTGGAGAAGTTTCTGATCTCATAGAGCTGGGTGCACCTCTAAAAGGATCTAGTGCAGTGGTTCTCAAACTGTGGTACGTGTACCACTAGTGGTACGCAGGCTTTTTTTAGTGGTACGTGGAGGAATAAAATATGTCATGTATATGCTACACACATTTTAAAATTTATCAAAAATGATGTGTCATATGACATATAGCCTATATTTCTGAGGTAATCTGCCACTTTTTTAACTGTGCATAGTTGTAGCTGCTGTACTGGGCCTACTACGCTACTGTATTTCAATACTGCTCATTTTGGTGGTACTTGGAGAGACAATTCTTTTCTGAGCTGGTACCTGATGAAAAAAGTTTGAGAACCATTGATCTAGTGGATGAATATATGCTGTGTGTGTGTGTGTGTGTGTGTGTGTGTATATATATATATATATATATATATATATATATATATATATATATATATATATATATATGCATGCTATTCTTTCAATCAAATCCATGTTAGCCAATTAGCAACAAAGCTAGAGGCACCAGGCAGACAGAAGCCCTGCCCATGCCACGATTTTGCATCTATTGTGAAGTAAATTTGACGCTCGAATTAAGGGAGTAAACTCAAAATGTTCACATGTCTATTTACGTGTGAATAGCGTGATCAATTCGTGCGTGCCACATCTGGTGTGAACACAGCATAACGGTCAATATGGCGGATGAAGTCCAGCCTTCTAACAGAGGAGCCACACAGTGAACGCTATAGACTGTGAGTTTCTGCAGATTTTGTGAGATTTGAACATTTAAAAATCAAACTATTAACAGTTGTTGTTTAATCTTATTGGTGTTACATAATATGAGGTTTAATTGCTTGGCAAGCAATTTTGGAGAATTTGATGTTTCCCTTTTCGAACAAAATGCCTGAGCATACTGCTCGAGAAGCCTTTTAACGATGAACGCTGAGTAAAATGACTTGCCTTAAAGGGACTTTGCCGCAACTGACATTATTCTGAATCTTTAAATAACAGTCAATACATTTGGATCCTGTTTTATCACTGCTCTTTTTTGATGCATATAGTTTGTTTTTAATAACTCATGTTTGTGAATTTGTTGATTATTTCAGCTGTTGGAGCTGCTGGCCAGTCCGTTAAGCTGACTTTTGAGAATGTTTGATGTGGCACTTTCTTTAAATTGATACAAATATCCATTCGGAGTGTTTCAATTCAGTGTCAAGTTCACTTAAAGGGATTTTTTAAGCAAAATAAGTATATGAAATAAGTAACACAAAATGTTTCTGTTTGTTATGTGCTTCATGTTAGTTTTGTGCAAAGGAGCTGCTAATGATATAAGGAGTCAAATGATGTCATAAGATGACATTTGAAAGTCGAATATTCCTGTAGCCGATGTTTTATCATAAGCATTAACTGTTCACTTGATCAGTGATGTCTGAATGAGACTGAAATGATGATATAGTTAAGTTGCGAAGGTTAGAGGTACGTGTGAAGATGGATATAGGTGAAATATTGGATGAGAATATACATCATTAATTTAAGAAAGAATAAGGATTGAGATTCAAAACAAAAGAATGCAAAAAAAAAAAAAAAAAAAGCTGAGAAATGCAAATTGGTTTGAAGTTACAGGAAAAATAAAAAATTGTACTTAATATGGTCTTGTGTCTTTTTTTCCCTCTAAATGTTATTTATTCTGAGATGTCTGGTATTTAATATTTCCAATATGGTAGTGCAAGAACATTAATTGTTCATGGAAGTTTTTTTTTTCTGAAACCACTTAGTTGGACATTATTATATATATTTTTCAAGTTTTATTACTTGATTGATTCAGCAAGTTCAGAGAATGTTTAATATTTTAAAAATTATCAATTGAATGTTTCCTTACTTACATTTGTATAACCAAGAACAGATTTAAAAATTGAGGCTTTGAACATGCAGAGAACAATGAATATATATATATATATATATATATATATATATATATATATATATATATATATATATATATATATATATATATATATATATATATATATATATATATATATATATATATATATAAATATATATATATATATAACAAAAAGTTAAGACAGCAGATGTTATTATGTTGCTTTAATTTATTTAAATGTGTTAATCAGGTTTAAACTTAATATTTTTTGTCAGTTTGATTGATATAAGTTGAAAGGACTACATTTTAAACAGCAAGAATTTTTTTATAAAGTAAAACAGGAAAGTTCTGGTAATGTTATGAAAAAACAATATTCAGTAAATAGAAATTTTATTTAATTTCTTACAACCCCAATCATAAAAAGTTGGGTCAGTATGGAAAACACAAATGAAAAAAGAAAGTAGTGGTTTCTAAATTTACTTTGACTTTTATTTCATTGCAGACAGAACAACAAACATTATTTAACATGTTTTTCATAAATTAATTAATTAATTTTATTTTTTCAAAATAAACACGTATTCCAATTTATTATTATTATTTTTTTAATTTGGTGTTGTACTTATTTGCGGTTTAATAAGGTCAAAAAACATTATGTGAAATTCTAAAAACCTCCTTTGAAAAATTTTTATTTTAAAGTTGTATTTTAAAAGTGGGTCATGATACGCCAAACTCACACCCACATTTAAATTTTTAACATGTGGTCCAAATACAACATTTGATATCTGGCCGATGTCTTGTGTGCCGCCTTAAGGACAGTGCCAACTCTATCAAAAACAGGTAAAGTTTGGCCCACATGCTGAATGCCAGGTCAGTCTCAAAAAAAATAGTACATTTAGGAAATAAAATTCATACATGCACAGCACAATTAACATGTACAAAATCCAATTTGTTCATTCAAACACGGGGCGAGGCAGTGGCGCAGTAGGTAGTGTTGTCGCCTCACAGCAAGAAGGTCGCTGGGTCGCTGGTTCGAACCTCGCCTCAGTTGGCGTTTCTGTGAGGAGTTTGCATGTTCTCGCTGCCTTCGCATGGGTTTCCTCCGGGTGCTCCGGTTTCCCCCACAGTCCAAAGACATGCGGTACAGGTGAATTGGGTAGGCTAAATTGTCCGTAGTGTATGAGTGTGTGTGTGAATGTGTGTGTGGATGTTTCCCAGAGATGGGTTGCGGCTGGAAGAAGATCTGCTGCGTAAAAACTTGCTGGATAAGTTGGCGGTTCATTTCACTGTGGCGACCCCGGATTAATAAAGGGACTAAGCCAACAAGAAAATGAATGAATGAATAATTCAAACGCACAACTCTGGAATTTACAAATAAAAGATATTTTAAATGAACGGGATTTGTGTATTTTTGAAATGTGTGTTGAATTGACTAATTGGATTTGTATATGTTTGAATCAGGTTTGGAATTTACAAGTTGGATTTGTGTATTTTGGCGATGCGGTGGCGCAGTAGGTAGTGCTGTCGCCTCACAGCAAGAAGGTTGCTGGTTCAAACCTCAGCTGGGTCAGTTGGCGTTTCTGTGTGGACTTTGCATGTTCTCCCCGCATTTGCGTGGGTTTCCTCTGGGTGCTCCAGTTTCCCCCACAAGTCCAAAGATATGCAGTACATGTGAATTAGTTAAGCTTAAATTGTCCGTAGTGTATGTGTGTTAATGAGAATGAATGGGTGTTTCCCAGTGATGGGTTGCAGCTGGAAGGGCATCCACTGCGCAAAACATATGCTGAATATGTTGGCGGTTCTCTTCGCTGTGACGATCCCTGATTAATAAAGGGACTAAGCCGAAAAGAAAATCAATGAATGATTTGTGCATTTACGAATCGTGTTTTGAATTTACGAATTGGATCTGTATATATTTGAGTTGTGTTTTGATGTTTAGAATTGAATTTGTGTACTTTTGAATCGTGTTTGGAAGTTACGAATTGGATTTGTGTATTTATGAATCGTGCTTTGAATTTACAAACTGGACATGTATATTTACGAATTGTGTTTTAAACTTACAAATTGGATTTTCTTAACGCGAATTGTGTTGTGGATGTATGAATTATATTGTGTAAATGTACTATTTTTGAGACTGATCTGGCTCCATAATGCTGTGCCAGCTTTATGCCAAATCTGGGCCAGAATTCTTTGCTAAAAGGAAGTGACCAAGCCCCACCCCTCTCATTGTCCCAGGACCCCAACTTTGAGAACCACTCTCAATTCATTTTGAAATGACATTTGGATGATGTAAGTGGAACATTACTGCAAACATTTTTAGAACATTTTTGTTCGCTGCCTGTAGGTGTTGTTTACTACAGCCCGTATCAGTTGTTGTTACTAAGCACAATGGCATTAAAAGAATGACACTCAGCTGTACAAATTATTTTTAACATCCACGGTGTGGAATCCAGAGACGTAATAGGAGCTGCACAGTAACCCCCTTGACAGCAGTCGATTTGAAAATCTATATGTAAAATGCCTATGATGAGGATAATGAGTGTATGGGACGCAACAAATCATGCTAATATGTGATGAGAAGCGCTAATGTGAAAGGTGATCATCTAGTTAAAGGCTGTCACAAATTCCTAAATGCTGCAATGGGTGTAAACTGTCATATACAGTAACAGTTATAAGCAGCAGGTCTTCATAGGGCGCTGAATTAAGCGAATTATAACAACTTTTTTAATATAAATTACTCAGTGTATTATTTGTTTCTGTCGATGCATAAATGTATTGTAGGTTTTCTCATTAGAAAAAAAAGCCTTCAGACATTAAAAAATAAATTAATACTATCTGCAAGGACGTTTTTTATTACTTCTTAATAAATAATTTAAAAAACAAATAACAATAATACTAAGATGATAAAATGAATAATAAAGTTTTTTCAGTGTTCCTCCATAATTTAATTCAGAATTCAATTTAAAAAATAAAATCTAAATAAAATCTTAATTCTGAATGTGAATGACATGTCTATATGCAAAAGTTATGTTCATTTGTTTTGTGGTTGGTGTGTGTCATTGGTACATTAAAAGCACTGTTACCATGTGCCAGTGTGTGAGCTTTGAGGATGGCAGAATATTTCAGTTAGACCACCTGTGCATGAAACATAATATAGCGTGAAATCATATGTTGGGAGGGTATTTGTCAAGCCATGCCTGTCAACAGCCATACACGCCATAAAATATAGAATTTATTTACGTTGGCAACAAAAACAGCATTAGCATAGTTGCATTAGATGAATATCTGTTACATTATAAACTATAGTTTCAACACCAAATGATTTTGTAATCATTTTCTTATTGTTTATAAAGTATATAGCCAACTTTAATAATTATTATAGATCATTTTCCTCAGAAAATGATCAACTTGGTGATATCTCTCTAAACTATGTAACGTTACTTGTCTAAGTAGAGCCTGGTTTCTCTACCTCTCTTGGAGGTTTTTTTTTTACTTCACTTTCGTCAATTGGTGAAGTTTGTTTCTCACCACTGGCTTGCATGGTTCGCGACTTGTAGAGCTGCGCATGCTCTTCAGTGTTTGGACTTTCAGCAGTGAAAATTAAAACACTCTGAACTGAACTATCCTAAACTTAAACTGGATAGACACTGTTTCAATTTACTAGAATTTCTATGTTAAGTTGCTTTGACAATCTACATTGTAAAAATGCTATAGAAATAAAGATGAATTGAATAAAATTAGCTGACAGACTAAATGTTAGCCTACAATAGTTTTTGACGGTGTGAAATATGTGAACGTTTCTAAATGCTCAACAAAATATGATTATTTATAGCACCAGATTTAGTATCGTTATTTTAAGTGCAGAATAAAAATGTAAAAGGTTTCTAACGTCCTTATTTGCCCTCAACAACATGGCGGACTGTGTACGCCTGTACCGGCTGAACGAGTCGCTTTTAAATGACGCAGCAAATTTTTACCGCACATGAGATGACAACAGCACAGCAGAGACAGCAGTTTAGAGGTACTCCACTCTTTCATATTTGTTTTTCTACTATTTTTAAAAGTAAATTAACACTTGTCACTAACATTTTACGAAGTATGGCTGTTTTAAAATACTTTGATGTTTTGCGTTATTTTCATAGACTTTGAAGCAGCTGATGTTTGTAAAACTGCTGAGGTGTAACGTTATCTGACTTATTATAACGTTATGTGTAATATAACGTGTATGATAATAAAAGGAAATAATACTTACTTAAACGATTAATCCAAATATCTCAGTGGAAAGTGACAGAAAATATTATGAGGTAACGTTATAGCGTCCTCCCCTGTTGGCAGAAACCTTTCTATTATTATGATAAGCTGGCGTTAAACTTGCCTACGGTAACGTTACAAATTGTTTAAATCGGAAGCAAATGGGTGTTGTTACATTATTGTGTAACGTTAGATATAATTTTGTTTCGAACAGTGGCCAGGATACTAAATCATCACACTGAGTCGAATCTTTCAAATCAGTTCACTTAAAATATTCACTGATTGAGAATTATAATTCATTTAAAAAGATGGTTCACAGTTCTTCTATTATTTACTTACTCTGACTACATATATTTCACTCTTATGCGAGTTTCTTTTTTCGTTAACAAACACAAGAAGATATTATCAATCATTTTCATAAACGGGTATCTAACAGCTATTTATGCTATCTATTGACTTTCATTGTTAAAAAAACATAGTCTGGAAGTTAGAGGCTGCCATCGACTGGTTGGTTAAAAACATTTTTCGAAATATCTTCATTTGAGTTCTGCAGAAGAACAAAACTCATAGGTTGGATGAACTATCGATAAGTGATTCTTAAAATGTTCACCACTGAAATGTGTAATATCCATTTCGAAATCTATGTACCTGTAAATGTTTTTAAATTATTCAGAAACAAACTTATGCAAAATTAGCAACAAAATTATGAATATCAGGTACATTGTCATTTAAAAAAAAAGTAATGGTCAGTCATTTTTCATATTAAACTGTTTGTTGCTGGTCCATAGTTTTCGCATCAGATGGCCACTGGAAAGGCTGATGAACCTGCAGTGCAGGAGAGCCACCACGAATGTGCAAACAATGAAAATGAACCTGCAAAAGATGAAAAGGACACTCTACAAACTGGAGAAGTAGAAACAATGTCAAAAAGACAAAGAAAGAAGCTTCTTAAGAGTCAACAGTGGGAAGAACAGAGAGAGCTTCGCAAGTATGTGCTTTAATGTTGTTATAGTAGTATATATATATATTTATATATTATATATTACATTTTAATTTCAGTTTTTATTGGAATATTTTTAGTTTTCAGTTTTTAAGATATCTTTTGATGTGCCTTTATTTATTTATTTGTTTGTTTGTTTGCTTGTTTATTTATTTTTTATATCTGTTTTAGTTTGTTATTTTTAACTTTGTTTCCTGGCATTTTTAATTTAATAGTTTTTTTTTATGTAGAAGTTTTTAATCAAATATTTTTTTATTTATTTCAGATTTATTTAATAATTTTAGTACTAGATGGGAATAACAACATCATTTAGTAATAATCATTCATTTCTTATTTATTAATTTAATCATCAATTATAAAACCTTGGGTAAAATTGTTTGCTATACTGTTACACATTCAGTAAACTTCTCACGTGTATATAATTTTTTTTTTTTTTCTTTCATGCATTACTTCATTCAGTCTGTCAGTCTTATTTTGCCATTGTCTATTAGAGTGTAATGCATTTTTCCCTGGTTGAACAGACAGAAGCGGAAAGAAAGAAAACAGCAGAGGAAACTGGAAAGACAAGCGCAGGGAGATGATGGAGTGGAGTGGACAGGAAAGAAGCGTCTGCGCAGGTCAGCGGAACCCAGCTCTCTCCGACTGATCATCGACTGCAGTTTTGATAACCTCATGGTGCTCAAGGTAACTGCACATTCAGCCCTATTATTGACACTAGTTTAGTGATATGCACCTCACATCTTACCTTGATTTCTTTCATAATACAGTCGGTTTCACAGAAAGATCTTGTTGGAAGTGATTTTACAGAGAAGTCACTTATTATAAAAAGCATGCATACACTTTATTATGGTGCAGGATGTAAAGAAGCTTCACAAGCAGATTCAGAGATGCTATGCTGAAAACAGACGCACCCTTCATCCAGCTCAGGCAAGTGTTTTCTACATATAGATCTAATGATGATCTTTAAACCATTCAAGATTAACTTCAATCAATGACCTTTTCTCTTCAACAGTTTTACCTCACGAGTCATGGTGGTCAGTTAAAGCAAATTATGGATGAAATTAATAAAGGCTGGGTTAACTGGAAGGTAAGATATGAAATGACAGTACTAATGATAAATATTACAGAAATCTACCTTTTTTCACACCTTTTTTAAAGGGATAGTTCATCAAAAAAATGTAAATTTACTGTTAATTTACTCATCCTCAGGTCATCCTTTATTTGTTTTCTCCAGTAGAACATTAAAGAAGTTTTTTAGCTCAATCCATGGTACTCAGGGATTCATATAATGGCAGTCAATGGTTACTGTTTATTTAGATTATGAATAAACATATACAAATCAATCTCTGTGGCTTTTTATGATACACTAAGGTCTTATGAAGGGAAACAATTGGTCCTTTTAGGAAATTGAACATTATTTACACATTATTATTATTATTATTATTATTATTATTATTATTATTATTATTATTATTATTATTATTATTAGTGTTAATTTCCAAATCTGGGTGAACAGTCCTTAGTGTGTACAGCAGTGTTGTGAGCCTCCAGTCACTTGATGTACAGTATGTGCGAGCTTACACTGAGACACAATTTCATTAACATTTCATGTAAATGTAATTTTTAGAGAAGTTTCTTTATCTTGGAAAATCACAGGTTACCATTTTGGCAAAATTGTGCATCCTCACTCTTTCTCATATGTCTCTGTGAGTATATGTCATGAAGTGACTAGGAACTGTTTACCCAGTATGTGGATTAATGCTAATAATATTGTAATTAATGTTTAATTTCTTGCACAGACTAGTAGTTTCCCTTCAGAAGTCCATCGGGAGCCATGGTGGGTGATTTGGACTTGTTTCTATGCATTTATTTTAATCTTGAAAACGGGTGACCATCGACTTTGCATTATTCAAATAATAAAAAATATAATAATAAAAATAATAAAGGGCCATGGATTCAGCTTAACCTTTTTAAAAGTTTTACTGTGGAAAATAAATCACCTAGCTATTCAATGAGCTGTTTACATTATAAGCTGTTTAAATTTAAGAGTGATTAAATTAACCGTACATTTTCATTTTTAGGTCAACTATTTCTTAAAATATTCTGACCATAAATATAAGGAAACATCTTCGAATTAAAAAAATAAGATACACTTTTTATTTAGCTTTTTTTTTCTGTTTACAAAATGAGTACATCAGTTAATATTAAATGTGTAATACATCAAATGTATGTAAAAGAAAATGTACATACAATACAACAGTAAAAATGACAGCTTCCTTCTTTCTATTTTTGTTTTAACCCAAGATCCAACCCCTGGACTGTTTATCAGTTCTGCGCAAACATTATTCAATGAATAACAGATCTTAAAAGGATAGTTCACCCAAAAATGATAATTTACTCACTATTTACTCTCCCTCTAGTGGTTTAAAATCTTTGAGTTACCTTTTTCTGTTAAACACAATAATTTTTTTATAAAAATGTTAACCATTGTCTTCTATATTAGAGAAAACAAGTACTCAATAAATCTTTTGTGTTCAACCGAAAAAATAAACTGAAACATGTTTGTTTCAACAAGTGAATGTTGAGTGAATGATGGCAGAATTTTCAGTTTGGGTGAGATGAGTTTGCAGCACTGGTATGTTTAAGATGTGAGAATTATGGGAAATGGAAACCCTTGAAGCATTTGATGTAAATCTGAATGTGGTGCAGGATGTCCATGTGAAAACTGATGCATTTCATGAAATCCTGAAGAAGGAGGATCTGGTCTACCTCACCTCAGATTCACCCAATGTGCTGCAGGAGCTAGATGAGAACAAAGCCTATGTGATCGGCGGTCTGGTGGACCACAACCACCATAAGGTGAGAGTCTCACAGTTACAAAGTGAAAAACTAAAAGAAGATCCTACCTACTAGGGCTGCACTATATATCTTTTCAACATTAGGATCACAATGTTCGCATCTGCAATGGTCAAATCGCAGGATATGCAATGTACAGTTGGGTTTATAGTTGACCAGGAGCCATAGTTTTTTATTAAAGAGAAAGTCTGCCTGTGTTTTTGTTTCTGCCTGTGACTGTATGATTTTTTAAGAGTTTAAAGCATTCAGGCACAATAAATTTTACCAGTTGTAACTTTTTAATAAAGGTTTTTTTTTTTATTACAGTTTTTGCAGATATTTAAAAACAAAGAACAGACAGACAAACCCATCATGTAAGAATAATCTATGCAAAGTGTAAAATAAAGCATGAAACAAGAAAAAATGGCAACATACTAGATGTATGACCTACAAAAAAAAAAAAAAAACACCGCAGTGGATGTAAAGCAAGAGAGAGAAAAAAAAACAAGCTTACAAATCTTCAGAAATTAAATAACATTATTAGTCTTTATGTTGTGTTAGAAAAAGAAAGGCTGGATCCCACATTTTATTAAATATTGCAGAGTTCTCAGAAGTGGTAAATTTAATTATTTCCAAACGTAAAGTGAAGGTGATGAAGATACATTTTTGTTTATTATTTATACAATGAATATGATGCAGTGTTTACATTACAACGAAGATGATGTAGTGTTTGCATTTTTCTTTCAATTTCTTTACCTGAATGCTGTTTGACAAAAACATAAAGCAACCTTGCTTGTAATTTGTTTTATTATTTTTATGCTTGATTCAATCCCTTTTTGCAATCAGTCTAAATTAATGAACACTTTCCAAATAGAGTTATTCAAAGCATATGATGAAACTTCATACATATCACGATATCAGGGTTTCTGCGGGCTCTCAAAATGACTTAATGTCTTAAATTTCAAAAACTAAATTTTAGGCCTTTAAGAGTCTTAAAAGCAGTTAAATATTGTGTTGTAGGTCTTAAGTTATTTCAAACAAGTCTTAATTTTACCCAGTCGTCTAACACTCATCCAATCACTAACAATCTATCTAAATGTTTTACCAATATTATTTATTCTGTACGGTGCATGTTTGGATGGACTGGTGTTTTTGTTTTTGTTTCTTTATTATTTTATGTCTCACTTTTTTCTTTTCTTTTTTTATTATCATTTGTATAAAAATGATTACAGATTGTGAAAATGCTTTTTTTTTTGTTCTGTTTTGTGCTTATATATAAAAAAACAACTTGTTATACATTAACCTTAGTCTTCGATGCGTAAGTGCACTTGTTTTAGACCTTCTGATTCAGTTGCCTATGGGAGAAATGACTAGGGATTATAAATGGCAGAAAACACTCTACAAGCAAGTGTTTGCATGACTATACAGACAAAGTAGAAGAGTATAATAAGAACATCAATTTGCAACTGAAAGCAGCAAAACAAGCTGTTTTTAACGTCTAAATGTGAATAGAAGTCTCAAACCAAAAAGATTAAAATGGCTCCACCCGCTTGTATGCAGGTGATTATACAGTATATATATATATAAAATATAAAGACAATAAAGTTTTGCCAAAGGTTTATTTATCAAGTCTATGCATAGATCTCAAACTCAATTCCTGGAGGGCTGCAGCTCTGCATAGTTTTGCTCCAACCCTAATCAAGCACAGCGGATCCAACTAATAGAGTTGTTCAAGAGTCTGTTTTAATATATTTAAAATGATCATTCGTTCCTGTGATTCAAAGCTGATTTGTCAGCCTCCTTATTTCAGTCCATTTCTTATTCTCAGTCTTTTTTTTTTTTTTTTACTCCAAAGAGATTTCAATTCACAACGACTAACACTTTTACAGATTTTCCAGTTTAGATTCTTTAATTGGGGATAAGAGGAACCGCAAATTTCTTCATGACAGCAACAGAACAAAATGCTCAATTGCATTATTAATTTTATCCCTTTATACCAAAACTATTTACAGAAGAAAAAGAGGGTGTGTAGGCAATAATTACAGTAAAAATAAATCTTACAGTTGCCGTTTTTGTGGAATTCACTAAATATAATTAATAATCAATACTTTTATTCAGCAGAAGTGTTATATTGATTAAAAATGACAGAATAAAGATTTATTTTTGTTTCCAGCGTTTATTGTTTTCTTTTTATTAAACAGCACTGCAAATCTGTATTTAGAATAATAAAATGACTGGTTTACTGTATAAAGGAAACATGGCACAATGAATAATAAAATCAGCTTTGTCATTGCAAAGATTTTCAAAAACATAATGTCTTTTTTATTTCAGATTTTATGATTGCTAAGGCAAGTACTAGCCAAATTTCACAAGGATTATATATATATATATATATATATATATATATATATATATATATATATATATATATATATATATATATATATATATATATATATATATAAAAGAATAATAATAATAATAATTATTATTATCTAGAGTGAAGCTTCACTAAAACTCTTTATTATTATTATTATTATTATTATGTATTTAAATTCATACAAATTCTTCTTGTTCAAACTACTACAAATAAACTTGATCAACACAATTGAACTTATTTGTACAGTTAATTAAGTTGTGTTGGAACAACATGAAATAATTGTGTGGAAGCCAGCATTTTTTACTGTGTTGCTTTATTACAGGGCATCACATTTAACCTTGCACAAGAGCTCGGCATTGCCCATGCTCAGCTTCCATTGGGCAGTTTCGTCAAGATGAACAGCCGCAAAGTGTTGGCTGTCAATCACGGTGAGATGACCCCCCTATACACTAAATATCCAGTCTTTTGTGTAAAATACTACAGCTCTAAATAAATCAGTTCATCTGCTTCTTGCTGCAGTTTTCGAGATCATCTTAGCATTCCTGGAGAAACGAGACTGGCGAGAAGCTTTCTTCACTGTCTTGCCGCAGAGGAAGGGAGCCGTGCCGATGGGCCAAGAGAACACACTCGGAAAAGATGAGGATGAAGAAGAGTCTGATGACGATTCAGACTCAGAACATCTATCAGAAAGAAGAACAGACTCAAAGGACCAATCAGATAACAAACAAGATGAAGAACACAAACGTGTGCCAAACCAGCCAGATTCCACTGATAAAAACACAGAGTAGAGATTTATATTTATGCTTTTTCATTCAGTTTTTTTTAATGGCTGTTTGTTTATTTTAAGTTCGATATTATCTTGATTTAAAAATGTAAAAGTTCGACTTATGTGTTTTTGTTGAAACAAATTGAATGAAAAATAAGAATAAAAAATAACAAACAACAAATGTGTAGTTCTGTGAGGAAAAACAACAACAAAATGGGCCAAAACCACAAAACGGCTAACAATGAATCTTTTATTGAGACTATTTGATATCTCTGAGAACCTGGTTTCTTTGTGCACTTCCTATATTGTTCTAAATCACATTCTTGTAATGAATAGGATTAAAAAAACAACAACACTTTTTTCTGACTAACTGAGAAACTGAATCTGCAGTTTTTATTGTTCTGCCACAGAGGGATTTGAACCTGTGGGCCAAGAGAACAAGCTTGGACATGGCAGGATTCAGATGTATGCCAGCCAATTTCAGAAAAGAAATAAGACCATGGACCAATCAGACAGCAAAAGGGAGGTACAAAAATCTCAAATTCCAGTGAGAAAAATATAACCTTTTTTCCCCTCATATTTTAGTCTACTTTTGTTTTTAGTTATAAATAAGTGAAGTTTAATTTTAAACATTTCAAGAGGAGCATGTGCTCATAATTGACCCAGCTGGCCCACATTAGCTAATCTTGATCCTCCAGTCATAGTATCCTAAGTCATATATATCCTCATTTCCTTTCCACAACTATCTTTGTCTGGAAGAAACCCTCCTCCACCCCTTTTTTCACTTTTATCCAGAATGGGCAGCACGGTGGCCCAATGACTAGCACTGTTGCCTCACAGCAAGAATACCAATAGCGTTGGGTCCTTGCTGGGCTATCTGGCATTTCTGTCCGGAGTTTGTATGTTCTCCCTGTGTCCGTGTGGGTTATCCCTGCATTCCCCAGTTTCCTCCCACCATCCAAATGTGCTCTATATTATAGACAAAATAAGCCTAAATCTTTTTTGTAAGGTCTTACTCTCAGGAAGTTCACCTTAGCCTCAGCAGCAGGGTAGTTTGAGATTGGGCTCAGTCTCTCCTCGCCCTGCGAAAGGGGGGAGCCCTGGGCCTGAGGATCCCTTGAGCTCAGGGCTCTCTCCCGGGACAGCACGTCAAACAAGCTATGCATAAATCATAAGCTAAGTGTGAACTCTTGAAATAGGATTAGTTCTTAGTATAGATGAATGTAGTGATGGTCTATATACAGGGTGATTCAAAAACAATACCACAACTTTGAAAATCTGTATTTAATCAAAGAAACATGATGGAACCTTGGGTAGTTAATCAATGTGAAGAGTACTTAACATTAAAGTTTTTTTTAGTAGAAAACAAGTTCATACATGTTCAATATGAGCCCCTCCAGACACTCAAATGACATCAACCCGAAAGTTGTGGCATTCTTTTTGAATTACCCTGTATATACAGTTGAAGTCAGAATTATTAGCCCCCCTTTGAAGTTTGATTTCTTTTTTAAATATTTTTCAAATAATGTTTAACAGCAAAGACATTTTCACAGTATGTCTAATATTTTTTATTCTGGAGAAAGTCTTATTTGTTTTATTTCAACTAGAATAAAAGCAGTTTTTAATTTTTAAAAAACATTTTAAGGTAAAAATTATTAGCCCCTTTAGCAATATTTTCCCAATAGTCTACAGAACAAACCATCCTTATACAATAACTTGCCTAATTACCCTAACCTGTCTAGTTAACCTAATTAACCTAGTTAAGCCTTTAAATGTCACTTTAAGCTGTATAGAAGCATCTTAAAAAATATCTAGTAAAATATTATTTACTGTCATCTTGGCAAAGATAAAATAAACCAGTTATTAGAGATGAGGTATCACAACTATTATGTTTAGAAATGTGTTGAAGAAAAATCTTCTCTCCGTTAAGCAGAAATTGGGGAAAAAAAATAAACGGGGGCTAAAAATTCAGGGGGGCGAATAATTCTGACTTCAACTGTATACACACTCACTGGCCACTTTATTAGGAACACCTTTTCATCTGCTTGTTAACACAAATATGGCAGAACTTCATCAGCATATTAAGGCAAATATATGTGGTTGAGTGGATCCATTGCAGTGTAAAATCTAGCTGCTTTAATGTTTTTAGTTGAATCAAATGAACTTTTCTAGTCATCTCAACTTACATTCACCAAACTTACAAAAAAAAACTAAGTTCAACTTTGTAGAACTAAAATTTTTTTGTTAATATTTATTTTTACTTATTATTGTTATTAAAATAATTTAAAGAAACCTAAATATATTTGTTGTCTTGACTTTTTGTCATTAATTGTTTTACCGTGTGATGTTCAAACTGAGCATTAAAATGGGGAAGAAAGGTGGTTTAGTTTGCTCTAAACATGGCAACGTGAAAGTGAGCTCCTATATCCTTCACAGCCTCAGCTCTCAGTACAATAGAGCACTTTGGGGATGTGCTGGAACAGGAGATTTGTATATGCATCAAAAAATATCTAGAGATACTCTGTGGATCTAGACCAAAATCCTCTAATAAACATAAATGTAGATTACATTCATTTAAAGAGAAACTTTTCATGCATCAATATGTGTTAAAGGGATAGTTCACCCAAAAATGCAAATTTACTAATTATTTTCTCATCCTCAAGTGGTCCTTGGTTTTTTTTCTGTTAAACACAAAATAAAGTATTTTGAGAAATGTTAGAGCCTGTAACCATAGACTTCCATAGTAGGAAAAACAATAAACTAGCTATTTACAGTAGTACTTGTATAACTATGGACGTCAATGGTTACTGACTTTCAACATTTTTCAAAAGTGACTTCTTTTTTGTTCAACAGAAAAAAAAACTCAAACAGGTTTGTGTAAATGTAAATGATGACATATTTTTTTCAGTTTTAGATGAACTATCCCTTTAATGCATTTCTGTAACTAAATTGAAACTACTCCTTGTCCTCTAGATGTCATCACACACCTTATTTGCATCAAAAAGTGAATCAATTGACCCTTAAAAGTTTTATTTTGATTAAACAAAAAACAAAAAGGCTGAAAAAGGCTTAAGATTTGCTAGAAACATTCCCTAATATTGTTGAATCAGTACAATGTAATCTCCTCAGTTTATTTACTCAATATATATCATTAATTATTTTTTGATTCCAACTTTTTTCCATTTCATTCATTCATTCATTTTCTTTTTGGCTTAGTCTCTTTATTAATCAGGTGTCGCCACAACGGAATGAACCGCCAACCTATCCAGCATATGTTTTATGCAGCGCATGCCCTTTCAGCTGCAACCCAACACTAGGAAACATCCATACACACTCAATCACACACATACTCTACAGCCAATTTAGCTTACTCAATTCACCTATATCACTTGTGGGGCAAACCGGACCACCCAAGGAACATCCTAACTCCACACAGAAATACCAACTGACCCAGCTGAGGAGATCATGCTACCCACTGCGCCTCTGTGACGCTCCTTTTTTACCGTTTCAGTTTTCAGACACTATAAAATATTGGCACTGCCTCACTGATATCTGAGAGAGAGAGAAATAACGAATGAATAGTATGCAAAAGGTGCGAATGAAAACGTGAACTTAATATTTTCTGTTCAATATAATGACATTTTCAGACATTTACAATGCTAAATGCTAATCATGGTGTATTACCATGTGGCTTACCATCCATGACTGTCATTTTCAGCTCAAACCCCCATCTGGAACTCTCTTCCGTTGAACACAGCAAAAGTGCCCGGGGGTTTAACTGTTTTCACAAGGAAGAACAGGTTTACCGTTTTTGATGCTTTTTTTTCTTTAGGCCAAGAATGCAACCAGATACATAACAGTTCATGTTAGATTTAAAACAGATAAATGCATGTGCTAATTATGTCACCACACTCGCAAAAATTAATCAGATATGCTGATGTAGTAATTCATTCAACAGGATTACTTTGATTCTGAAAGTCATAGCCGGAAACAAAAAAATGGAAAACTGTCTTGATGCTGAACTGTTAAAAGGGGACATAGAATCTCTAAAATCACTTAACATTTTTAAGTTTAGGTATAATAGTCAAATTAGAAGCATGTTCTGGAAATTGTGTACAGCTGTTTAAAAATAACTTTTTTAGTCGGATGATTATTGATCTAAGGTGACATTGTGGCTCAGTGGTTAGCACTGTCACCTCACAGCAAGGTCACCGGTTTGAGTGCAGACTGGATCAGTTGGCGTTTCTGTGTGGAGTTTGCATGTTCTCCTTGTGTTGTCGTGTGTTTCCTCTTGGTGCTCCGGTTTCCCCCACAGTCCAAAGACATGCGCTATAGGTGAATTAAATAAACTAAATTGGCAGTAGTGAATGTGTGTGCATATATTTAAAAAAAAAAAAAAGTAAACAATAAATAGTAGTCATAAAATAAATATATAATAAAAAGAAATTTGATTTAATAATAATAATTATTATTAAATAAAAAAATTGAATAAGAATAATAAGTCAAATAAATTACATTTAACAATCAACATTTATGGATAATACAATAATAATAAATAATAAAAATCTGTATATTTACAATGATTCATTTATAATAAACGTGTGTGTGTCCTGTCTCTCTCACACTCTTTCAGTGTGTTTTTAATTACTGGTGCAAGTCACTTTTTAGGATAAACATGTTTACAAAACCATTACGGTAGAAAAAAAAGACAAGAGATGAGTTCGACTATTTAAAAGAACTTAAAAGATTAAGCAATTACAGAATATTAAATCAGTAGCTAAAATAGATTGAATCATCAGATTGCGAAGAAACACCCGGATTAAAAACAGGAAAGTTGAGTGCGCAGTACTAGTAAGGACCTGTGCGCGACTGCGCAATGGAGAGCTGCCGTTCAACAGGTGTATCTCTTCTCTCCCAGCATTTCCACATTTTCATTCACACCGTCGGAGGCATCAATGGAAATCCGCACATTTTTTTTCTTTCTTAACATGTCGTAGGTGTTAAAATATTGACTGGATTAAAACTTTTTTCCCGCTTCCACACGAATTGCATGGATAAACGCTCACTTTCACCGAAGGATGTCAGTCTTTTTGAACTTGAAATGAATTAATCCTTAATCTCCAGTGTTTTTTTTTATAATAGTGTTTTTTTTTTTTTATTTCTTTCCTTCTGTCTTTTGGTTGTTGTTGTTGCACTGGACGTCTTTATGTATGGGTATGTCCTCTTCTCCAATGTGTCCTGTGGGACTGGATCTATGATCGATGTAATTGAATCAGGAGTACCTTCTCTCAACATGGACGCTGTTTTTGGTATATTAATAATGAGCTTTACATTGACATCGACATACTGACAACTCGGGCTCAGGAGAAAAGTCTGAACTGGAGGATGATGAAGGCAGTTTCATATGTTCTTGCTGCGGTGATCTTCTGGAACTCAGGTGAGCCGTTTCACACATACGGTAATTAATACTGGGTAATTGGAAACTTTCTAGAGCTAGTTGCAGGATTTGGGGTTAAACGTTTTGGAAAAAGAGCTTCACAACACGTTTACGGTTGTCTGATATTACTGGAAGAACTGGTTCTCATGACGAACTGCGTGTGTGATTCAGTGTGACAGACAGGCGCTCCCTGCACACACACACACACACACACACGTTACGCATAGTCTTAAGGAGTGTTTTTTTGGGTTGATGAAGTTGTAAGGGTGTGATGAATTGAAGGGTGTTGTCAACGTAACTTACATTACATTTTTTAGAGTGTTAGAGCTATTATTTCAGCTGTAATTGTGCATTAATTTAGGGTTAGTGGCTCTGAACATTATGATAGGCTCTTAAGACATTTTCCTGCATCAACATTTCTGCTGATTTATTAACAACATTCATAGGTTATCGCCTTTTGATATTAGGATTTAGAGTGTCAGTGCTGTAGATAGGATATTTGGGGCCCTGGTTCAGCATTTTCTGGAGGTCGTTTTGGCAAGAAACTAGGCATGGTACGATTACTGTTTTCAAGGTATACCTCGGTTTGGAAAGTCATGATTTTAAAAACGCCAATATTTTCTGTTATATTGTTCCTACGGCATATGAAATATATATATATATATATATATATATATATATATATATATATATATATATATATATATATATATGGCATTTTAAATTGGAAAGAAATCTGTGTTTTTGAAACTAATGAAGACAGCAGAAGTCAATGATTTATTTGACTTATTTAGCCTGACATGTTTACTGTCGGGCGACGCGGTGACGCAGTAGGTAGTGCTGTTGCATCACAGCAAGAAGGTCGCTGGTTCGAGCCTTGGCTGGGTCAGTTGGCATTTCTGTGTGGAGTTTGCATGCTCCCCCAAAAGTCCAAAGTCATGCGGTACAGGTGAATTGGGTAAGCTAAAATTGTCCGTAGTGTATGTGTGAATGAGAGTGTATGGGCTACCCCCAGAGATGGGTTGCAGCTGGAAGGGCATCCGCTGTGTAAAACATATGCTGGATAAGTTGGCGGTTCATTCCGCTGTGGCGACCCTGGATTAATAAAGGGACTAAGCCGAAAAAAGAAAATGAATGAATGAATGTTTACTGTCAAATTTTTTTTTTAATGCTTTCCAAATTAAAATATATTGTGTTCAATGGGGGAAAAGTAGTTGTTTTTACCCAGTTATTTAAAACTAATTTATTTTGGTGCAGTAATCACAATATCGTGAAACTGATATTTTTATCCAAGGATACCGTCAGAATCATACACCGGCCCATGCCTACAAGATACCCCTTGAATTGTCAACTTTACCTAGTATTGACAACTTTGGGGTTAGGGCTTTAAACCACTTGCCTATTATTTTATGACTTGAGATGGTTTGAGACTATTTTATGATATAGTTTTTGTGATAATTGTGGTCATTTTTAGCAGCCAGGTACCTTGATTTTAAACTATATTAATTTGAACTGCAAATACATTTACATTTATTAAATTAGCAGAGAAGTTTATCCAAAGCAACTTACCAGTTAGCATAGTTGCATTTAGTGACTAGAAAACAATGAATCCCATTGCTATTTGTCATTGTTTTTAGATCCATTGAATGATAGTTTACCTGTAATAATTACTACAGTAATTAATAATAAGTAATCGGTAAAGTACTATTTTTACATTGTAGTGTAATTTGAAGTCAAAAAATTATTTTATAGCTCTTTATACAGTAAAGATTGTTAGTACACTGTAAAAACTCTGTGTATTTCATGATTCACAACTGTTTTCTGTTTATTTATGGTTGTGAATTGCATTATGGGGTGTAGATCTCAGCGATGTCGAATTTTGATGTTCAAATTTCAACTTTACAGTTTGAAAAAGTGACTTTTATTGACATTTTAGTTCTCTGAAATTATATAAAACGTGAAATAAGTCTGTAAAATAGCAGAAAGTGTACTGGCAGTTTATTGTAAGGTGTTTGTAGCGTAATATACAACACCAACCCAGACAATATATCACTTGAAACTATTACAAATGTTCATAAAAGTCACTTTTTTAATTCAATTCAAAAGCATAAATAAATGAGGAAAATCAAAACATAAATGCCAAAATGTGGAAAAGGGCTAAATTGAGGATATTTTTAAAGAGTGTATCTTGGCAGTAATGTAACGTAAACAGGTATGTGATAGAATCAGTTATATGCAAACTTCAAAAATGAGGCAAATCCAAATTTGGCAAGACAACAGTGGCGAATATTCAGTTCGTTATAAAACAAGTTCAAGTGCTTCTCAGTATCAAGTCGAAGTAGGCAAGTCAAATAGTGACAAAAACACAATCTCCACCAGACAATGAAAACGTAGAAAAGAGACCTTAAGAGACACCAGGTTTATTCAGGGGATCATTTCTTTTCTGGCCAGAACCAATAAACACAAATTAGGTGGGAAGGAAAAGTTGTAGTCTGTAAAAAAAATATTAGCATTGCAAATTAGGTCTATTTTTGCTATTATTGGCCCTTGATTTTACGTAGGATTAGGCAAGAATCATTAGAAGGATGTTGACTCAGGAACATGTCATACTGGGGTAAATCAATGCATTGTGTGTGACAGTTGAAAGAAGTATGTGCCAGAAATCTTGTCAACTTGCATGTGTCTGAAAGACTTTGTTATGAATGTTGTTCATTGATGTGGGATGGTGACAAAGTTCAATCCAGACTTAAAATGACTCAGAAACTTAACATTTGAAGACATTATAGGTGATTAAAGATCCAAAAACACCTTTTCAGACTGGCCTTCTATTAAGTGTGCAATTTATAGATTATATGACCCATAATCCTAGGAATATGCTGAATTGCAAAACAGTAACAAAGTACTGTGTTTCTTATTTATGACCCCATTTACATACAGTAGGCTTAACATCGTTTTGAAAGATGTGGCAGATTACATTTCACATTTTATTTATGTGATTAATAATTTCTCATTTCTTAATTTCTATTTTGTTTCAATCTGTTTACCTATGGAAAAATTAAGAAATCACCTAGAAAAATCTCTGTATTTTCCATTTATATTTACAGATTTTCAGGCACAACAAATGCAAAAATGATGTTACACTGTTAAAAAGTAAGCAAACACATTGCCTTAAAAGCAACAAGTTGACTTTACTTAAAGTCAGTAAACCCATTGACTTTGTTGACTTAATTATAAGGCAACGAGTTTACTTAATTTTCTAAGTAAAGTCAACTAATCCTGTTTACAGTGTATTTATCAGACCTTTATATATATAAAAAAATTAATCTTAAAATTTTACTTCAACCATTGCTTAATTTGTAAGAATAAATCCCGGAACATTAAACAGTGACTAAAAAAAAAGAGCATAACATTTCTGAATGGTTTTTAATTATTATAGGTCAGTCATGGATAATAAAAATTTACATTTAAAAAAAATTAAAATATGCTTGACTGCCTTTGCCATTTTGAAAATACAAATATTGTTTAAGTAGACCATTATGTCATTATTTATTTTCACTGCGCACAAAACAGTCTCACTCTCAACGAGAGTGATTGTAAACAGAAAGCTGATTGGCTGAAAATATTGTTCAGTGGCAATAGTTAAACGTGACTTTTGCTTTAACTTGGGTATGGTGACTACCATCATGTGTGTGTGTGTGCACACACAATCCTCTACTATCCACAAGCATTTGCTTGCACTCATTTACATTCTCACTCTCCTTTTCTCTTTCTATTTTATTTATAAACCAATATCGAGAGGATCACATGCTTATGATTGACCACAGCTGGTCCTGCATTAGCTAACGCGTGATTCACCAATCGGATGATTCCTAACAAACTATAAATAACCAGAGTCTCTGACCTCAGTTATCTTCGCCCTGAAGAATCCCCCCTTCCACCACTACTCCTCCTCCCTTTTCCTTGATAGGGCAGCACGGCAGTCCAGTGGTTAGCAATATTGCCCCACAGCAAGAATGTCAAGTCCTTACCGGGCCAGTCAACGTTTTTGTGCGGAGTCTACATGTTCTCCCCCTAGTTGCGTGGGTTTCCCTCGGGTTGTCCAGTTTTCTCCCTAAGTTCAAAGACATGCGACAGGTGAACTGATCAAACTAAATGTACTCCATAGATGAGCTTATAGGCCCCGGTTTACACTAATACGTTTTATTTTTAAAACGCATAAGTTTTGCTACATTTACACCTTCTGTCCACAGTACCCTAAAGTTTCCCAGCCCTGAAAACGCCAAGGAGACCATTTTTGTTTTTAAATGCTTCTGCTCCGTGTCAGTGTAGATGGGGAAAAACAGAGACATCTGAAAAGAGCCATGGTTACAGACATTCGTCAACAATCTGAATGGGGCTTTTTCTCAATATTACGTACACAAAGTTCAGTCTTGCATCCTGTCCTTGTAAGTTCAGACTTTTGCAAGTTTGATATGTTAAACAAGCTCCTGAGGACACGGGTAAATCTTTAAAGAGAACAGTGTACTTTATGACGTCATTCACATTACCCTGGCTACACTGCTTCACTATCTTAACAATAAAATAAAAACATGATATGAGGAACTGCCTATTTTTATTTTGATATAACTTAACAGACACCAAAACTTTTGAGGCGTTGTGTAGCTACATATTTATATGATCGTCATCTTCACTGTATGCATATTTACAACAAAATGGAGCCTATAACATTACTGCCTCCTTTCATTTTCAGTTTTAATAATCAAGAATGGCCATTTTAAAAGTACAATAAGTTCATACAATAAAGGCAAGCCATCAGTCAAATGAGCAGAATCAGTGTACGTAATTACATAAATGAATATATTATCTGTGCGCTCAGCCAAAACACGTTACCTACACGTAATAACAAGTAATAGATTCAACAAGAACAAGTAATAGATTCAAAAGACCAAAGAGTCATTAAATATAGACAAGATGAAGTAAATGTCACGTTTAAGAACTAT